AGGAGGTCATGAACGACTACAGTCGCTGTCCCCTGGCTAGACAGAGTGTAATCGTTCATGTAGATCTTCACCGAGATCGATCTTGGCAGACTGAACCCGTCTAAGGCAGCTAAGCCCAGCTGAAAACACGAATGAAAGTCGCGGCGAAGCCGCAGCCTGCCACGATGCCGCGCCATGCAAACTTGGGCCCCACGACCGTGCTGCTCATGGCGACGCAGCGGCAGGCACGGTAGGCCACCTCACAAACACGAGCGATCTGCATGGGGAACCCGTGCTGGCGGCATCGTTGGAGTAAGAGGTCTAGATCAACCGACTCGTAAAACTTCAGGAGATCCCAGAGAACCGAACTGGAACACACATCGGATGAAACAGCCTTATCGCTTCCCACGCTCTGCCGCCAGACCGCGTCCACGCTAGAGGCGAAAGAGCCAGCCGCAAAGTCATCGCGTCGATTAGCCGCTTCCCACCTGCAGGCATGATCACCACGGGCCCGAGCCCAGGGACGATAAACTGAAGCGAACAGCCCGATGGGGCGGAGACCACCGTCGGGATTGGCAAGCACGATAAGCAACAGCACCCGCATCTGCATCGGCAAGAGACCTGACTTCTCGAACGCGGCGATCATCCGAGCGAGAACGACGAGGGCCTGATCCCACCGGTGCTGGAAGCTGCTGAAATGGAAGCCGTCGGCCGACGCCGCAGCGTGCGTGGGGAACGATCGAGACGCGCGGCGGAGGTCGTCGGGGGCGACCTCGGGCAGCGGGTCGAGGACTTCAAACCTGCCCCCCACTGACGGGTGGGTCTGAACATCCTCGGCGCGCCAGAGATCCGAAAACTCAGCGCACTCAGAAGCGAGGAGGGCCGGGGGGTCAGAAACGACTTCCCCTTTAGCGCGAGGGGCAAAGGGTGGGGCCCAGGCGGGGGGGGGCCCTGACCACGCCGCGGGCGCGGTGATCGCCCGACTCCATATTCGTGTAAAGCCACATGACCCAATTCTTATGATCACCATTGCGGGCATCCTGCTCGGCCACAGCTTGGGCCTGGGAGACCGCGTCAAGGGCATGCTCGGGTTCCCCAGAAACGATCACCAAACAAGGGGGGCCGCGGGTCACGACATCCTTGCAACGCTGCAGCAACGAAGATGCCTCGCCGCCCCACTCGCCAAGCCTGACGGGCGGGTTGAAAAATTCGGCAGCCGTGGCAGAGAGGTGGCTGCCCCGCACCGAGCCGTGCTCGGGGGCCGCTGAGCATGCCCCCGAGTAGCCCTGACAACGTTTTTCGCAAGCCGCCACGGGCAAAATTTGGGGGGAGAGATGGGCCTCTTCAGCCGACGCCCCAAGGGCGCACAGCTGCAACCATAACCTAAAACGACTGCTGAGCCCGACCAGCTGCGAAGCCAGGCGAGAGGTGGACGACGCTCCTTCCATCGTCGCCTTACCTGGCTGCAGCGCACTGGTCCTCTGAAACTCCGCCCGCCGCCCACGACTGCCACGGTGCGAAAGGCGGCGCTGGTAAACTCCCTCGAGCTCTTTCTCGACCGTGTTAGCCCAGTGTTTGTATATGGTGTCAAGGTGATACTGGGTCTGATCCACACCCCCACTCTTGGCCGCAGCTCGGTAAGCCAGCCTACCGAGCAGATCCCACCCAGGAAGGGGTTTGGGGCGCGGCCCCGAGGGTGCTGGGACGGGAAGGAGGGGGGGGGGGGGGCGTCTGAAAGTGAGGGCTTTCAGGGAGGCGACACAGGGGTGGAAAGTGAGAGATACAGGGTCATGCGTCGCTAACTCCGAATCACCCACTACCTTCACGCGTTTGATAGCCTGCGCCAACGTCGAACCGCAAAGGTAGAAGTCGTACATATTCACGCCCCCTGTGCTGCGACACGTGCCCTGGATGCCTGCAGGATACACAGCGTTAGCGCCCATGCGCCTGTGGATGGATGTGCCAGCCAGCACCGACGGCTCAATGTTGAAGCCCGCTCCGACAAGGGACGGCACGGGCAAGCTCTTGACACGCGCTGCACACCCGCCAAGATGTCCTGATTGCAATCGTTTAATCCAAACCTGTCCTGCAGGTAGACACTGACGCACAAAAAAAGGCTGCCTGACCTGGGAGGTGGGCGAGGGCCCCGGGGGGCCTATGTTTCCGAATAGCGGGCCCCGAATCGGGGCGTTACAAACCCAGGAAGGACCGAGCCAGAACTCCGACCCCAGCCGAAGGGCCCCCACCCAGGGCCCACGGCCCCTGGTTCAAAACTGGTTTTCCACCCGTTTCGCGCACACCAGGCCGAAGCCTTCCTGAGCTCCTCAGCTGAGATCATCCTGTGCCCCTGCACAAACACGACGTGCACCGAGGTAACTCCCAAAAACTTGGTGATACTGTTCCAGCTCGTGCCATTGGCCGTCACAATCTCCAATTCGACAGACTCTGAGTTTCCAAAATCTCCGTGGCCCCGATGGTGCATAGACGAGTTCCGTGGGGCATCCAAAACTGGGCATGAGGTAGGGAGTCTAGGGTAAAAGGAGAGTGACTGTTCGGCCACAGCTGGGCTCTCGGAGTGAGAAGGTGCCTTGGGCGGCGGGGCCGCGAGCGCCTTGTCCACTGGGGCCGCCGCTGGGGCAGATTTGGTGGGAGCACGAGCGACAGCCTGCCTAGCCTGCTCACGAACGTCACTGGCAGGCTTGGCAGGTGGTGCGGCGGCGGAAGCAGGCGTTGGCGGGGCGGCTTTGCCATCGCCCGCGGCAGCCGACGCTCCCGCTCCCTCAGAGGCGGCATCAGCTCCAAATCCTGGCTGGCGACGATCAGCCGCGGTCTTCCGCTGCTTCTCCAGCCGCTGCGTCTGCTCCTGGTGGCTCTTCTTGAGCGCGACACACTTGGCCTGAACCTCGTCGAACAAAGTAGTAGTGAGGGAGGTGATTTGCTCCGACAGCTGCTGCTTGCGGGACTCTGCTTCCTTGAGGTCTTGCTCAGACAGCTCCTGGTACTCGCCGAGGCCGGACATGTCGCCGTCGTCGAGGACGAACGAGGAGAGCTTGCCCTCAAGGGTATCCTGCTGACGCAGCACAGGCGCGTCGGTTGCCGCAGCAGCGGCCTGTTGAGGCACTTCGGGGCGGCGAAACTGACAGGTGCCGCTCAGAAGTGGCCGTCTTATGCTCAGCATCGTACCGCTCCGAATCCTGCAACGTACTATCAAGGTCGGATCACTGTTGGGCCAGCTACCGCTCGAGTTTGTGCACATGTTCCAAACCACGGTCCAGTTTCTTCTCTCAGCGCTGGATATCCTTGAACGCTGCATCTGCACTCTGCTGAGGGGGCAGTGGCGCCTGCTCCATCTGTGCCACCTTTTCCTGGGCCATAGTGAGTAAGGAGGCGTCGCCGACCTTGGCGCTGAGCTCGACGAGCTGCTGAAGCTCACTCCTAGTTGCCGAACTGGTGACTGCAGGGCGACCAGGCAGGGGCTTACCTGAAACTGCATATGCTGCGGCACGACGAACATCAGCAGCTGCGGCTCCACGTGGCAGTCCACCGTTGGCCGAAAGGTCACCTGAGACGGGTTCTTTCCAATGCTCCCCACAATGTTTGCACCAAATGTAGTGCCACGCGTTCTTCTTGCACTGGCAATGTCCGCATGTCCAACGTTGGGACGAAGAATTATTACCACTACGAGACGTGTCACTAGAAGCCATCGCAATGTCGCCGTGAGAGAGATGGGGTGCCTCCGAGCCACTCTGGCCAGCGAACACCCAGCCGCTCAGAAGATCGGTGATCGCATGCACAAAACACAAGATGTTTGTGCCAGAACGGCTAGGAGGAGGAGGAGGAGGAGGAGGAGGAGGAGGAGGAGGAGGAGGAGGAGCAGAGGAGGAGAGAGGAGGAGGAGGAGGAGGAGGAGGAGGAGGAGGAGGAGGAGGAGGGGGGGGCGGAGGAGGTGAGGAGAGGAAGGAGGAGGAGGAGGAGGAGGAGGAGGACAGAGGAGGGGCAGGAGGAGGAGTTGCCCAGACAGCCGGCGCCTCCAGCAAAAAGAGCGGGGCGGATGCTGTGCCCGGCCTCCGGCCTCTCGGGGCCCCGGAGGGGCCTCGGGACCATCGAAGAATGGCTCGGGGCGAAAAAAAACGGTCCTGGGGAAGCCACGAGCACGAGGCGCCCCGCCGCCCCACCTCCTCCTCCTCCTCCACCTCCTCCTCCTCCTCCTCCTCCTCCTCCTCCTCCTCCTCCTCCTCCTCCTCCTCCTCCTCCTCCTCCTCCTCCTCCTCCTCCTCCTCCTCCTCCTCCTCCTCCTCCTCCTCGGGGGGGGTGGGGCCAACCCGCAGACCCCCTGGCGCGTCGTGAAAAGATCAGGGTGGGGGCGGACACAACCCCCAACAGAGAGGTCGGGAGCCCGTGCCTCGCAAGACTCGCGACGGCGGCTGCCTGGCTGGGCACGGCAGGTTCGTGCCGTGGCGACCCACCGCTGGTTTTGCAGCCGTCGACGATCGGCGGCTTTCGCTCGCCAGCTCGTTCCATATTGGCCGACACTGGGCCAATGGCGGCGTTCCACCTTGAACGCCAGCGGCGTAGACACGGCACGAGCCGACCGTACGCCTCCCGAATGGGGCGGGGGCGCCCTGAGCTCGCAGCGTGTGGATGCCATGATAATGGACACTCTAACAATCCGACCATGGAATGAATTAAAGATGTGTTCAAAATGTTTGCACAATGTTCTAAACATGCTTCAGACATGCTTTTCAGATGGTGAAGGCATGTTTGAAACATTGCTTAGACATCTGGAAAGGACATGGCAACATGCTTCCTCTCCAGTGATCGTCGTCCACAGCTCAGTGGTCCTCACTTCAGCGTCTTGACTTTGTCTAGAGGGCAGAAAATCCACCCCGATCATAACCACCCCGACACGCGAGGCCGTTTGGCAAACGCGCCCCAAAGAAGGAATCAAACAGGGCAGGGCTGTTTGGTAAACGCCCAGGGCCGTTTGGAAAACGCAGATTGTCGGTACTGGATGGCTTTTCCTCCCTTGATTGTAAGGACGACGAGCAAGAGCGGCGGCGCGGCGGGACCAGACGGCGGGCCCGCTCTTTCTGGGCGGGCGAGGCGCTCGTCCGGACGGCGGGGCCTCTGCTTGAGAGAGCTGTGCACCCACAAAATCCGTCGCCGGACGCCGTCTGACGCCTCGACCGACACCTGAGGGGCAACGGTAGGGGGGGACTGGCCACGGGGGGGGATACATCGACCTGGAATCGGCGATACATCGCCGATAGATCGGCGATAGACCTCCGATCGTGAATCCGCACCTTCCTGGGCAGGTTGGGGCTATCGGGCCCCTATCGGCGATCAATGGGCGATTGGGGGTCGATGCATCCCCCCTTTGCCTATCCCCCCCCTATCGTTGCCCCTGAACACCGATGGGCGACAGCGTGGAAAAGGGGGGGGGGCACGAGGAAGGAGAGGCTTCGACGAGGGGATCGACTACAGAAACGATGCACCCTAAAATTGATGTTTCCCGTCGGGTCTACGAAAAATGCGCGCAGGATGTGCGGGACCTTCTAGCACGCATGTGTCGTAGACTCGTCGAAGGAATCAAGTGTGGGGTCAATCGATTCTGTAGTCGACCCCCTGCTCGGAGGGTGCGAAGGGAGGCGTTCGGGATGCTTCCTGGGAGGGGGGGGCGTTCGGGCTCCATGGACTTCTGGGGAGACGGGCAGGAGGGCCCGGAATCGGATCGAGAAGTCGGCCCGGCGCTCGGCACGAATCGGACCCGCGGACACCGGCAGCCGAGCTGGGAGACGCCGCCCCGGCGGAAGACGGCGGGCCCGCATGCCCTCCGTCGGGAGATCGGAGAGCCCGAAGGTCGGCACCCGCAGCCGGATCGAGGCAGAGGGCGGAAGCCAGCGGCAGCGAACGGAGCCGACTCGCGGGGGAAGCGCAGAGGGGCCCGAGGCGCGGGGAGGAGGAGGAGGAGGAGGAGGAGGAGGAGGAGGAGGAGGCAAGGAGGAGGAAGGAGGGAGGGAGGGAGGGGGAGGAAGGATGAGGAGGAGGAGGATGAGGAGGGGGGAGGGCGAGGGAAGAGGAGTAGGAGGAGTGAGGAGGAGGAACCAGAGGGGGGGCCCCCTGGCGCGGTGAGCGGGGAGGCGGCGGAGCAGGGAGGCGGGGAGAAAAACAAAAAAAAAAAAGAAAAAACAAAGAAAAAAACAGAAAAAAAAAAAAAAAAAACAAAAAAAGAAAACAAAAAAAGAGAAAAAAAGAAAACAAAAGGAAGAAAAAAAAAAAAAAAAAAAAAAGTAAAAAAAAAAAGAAAACAAATAAAAGAGAAAAAAAAAAAAGTAGAAGAAGAAAAAAAGAACAAGAAAAAAAAAGAGAAAAAAACAGAAGAAAAAAAAACAAAAAAAAAAAAAAAAAAAAAAAAAAAAAACAAAACATAAAAAAAAAAAAAAAAAAAAAAAAACACAAAAAAAAAAAACAAGGAAAGAGAAAAAAAAAAAAACAACAAAAAAAAAAAAAACCAAAACAAAAAAAAAAAAGAAAATAAAAAAGCGGAGGGCGCGCCCGGTGCCCGCGTGGGGGCGCGCGCGGCCGGGAGGGCCGGGCGCGGGCGGGCGGGGGCCCTCCGTGCTAGCTAAGAACAGTCAGTCCTGTGCTCTACCTGCCCGAAGCCCTTCTTTGTTGTGGCTTTGGCTCAAGGGCGGGAGTTTCCTACTTTTACATTTGTTTCACGTGGCCCAGGGAGCCACACCTTTCAGCACGGCTAGCGACGCTGTGACAACTGTTACGTTATAGATTCATCGAGTTGGGTGAGAGATATATCATCGTCGGAACTTCCTGATATTACTGCTGCGCCGATTCCGCCAACATGGCAGCGGAGCCATCGTGGAGACCCACAGTTAAGTCGACCACTGGGTGTGAGACAAACGAGCAGGGAGTGCCGACATGGAGTGGAGACCCACTGACGTTCGAGAGTTATGAGAATGCAGTTCTATGGTACCGAGCTGGACTGAAGGAGAACGAGAGGAACCTCACTGTGGCTCGTCTGTGGACTGCGCTACGAGGTGCAGCTAAGGAGGCCGTGAAGCGTTGCTCAAACACCTGAGAGAAGGTCCTCTAGGTAAGATGCCAATCCCAGACGCGTACCAGAAGATCCGCAACTACGATCAAGTGGTTCGCAGGCCCGGCGAGGTGATCGGCGAGTTTGTGATCCGAGAGGACAACTTGTTCAGAGACATGCGGTCGGCCTTGAAGCGACTACGTTCAGACCGACTGCGACGAAAAGCGGCTCAGGCGAGTACGAGAACGGGGCGAACAGCTACGTCTACGGTTAAGGAGCCTACGACCGAGGAGTTCGAAGAGGCCGCAGAGATTGAGGAAGACGCCGAGGCCGTAGACGCAACAGAGAAGAAGTCGGTGATGTCGGCCAAGTCAGGAGTTTCCGTGGCCAAGTCTGAAACCGACGCGAGCTTCTTCGAGGCCGAGCTTCGTGGGTATAGGCTCTTGCACAACGCTCGCCTGAGTAGAGAAGAGCGCCAGATGATCCTAGCAGGCACTCGGAACGACACTCGATACGAATCCATCGTCACGCAGCTTCGCGCGTCTTGGGATGATCGAGACCTGCGAGACCGCGACAAACCAGCTCAGCAGCAGGGTCGCGGTTTCAGAGGCAGAGTTTTCGCACTCGAGAGCGTGGAGGGGATGGACGGCATGTGTGCGGCGATCCGCGGTGAAGAATCATCGTGGACAGTCGACTGGAGCTATGACGAGAACGAGGATGTCTGGTGGTGTGCCTTCTATGCGGACGAGGGGGATCAAACGACATGGGCCACCAGCTCGTGGGATTGGTCCAACAACGACGCTGGATGGAACACTTCGCCAGACCAGTGGGGACAGGCAACAGCAGTGACATGGACACCGGATTTGACTACGTATGCGACGGACGACGACTCGTACTTGGACGAGCAGGTGAATGCGGCCGAGATCCTTGCTGCCGAAGCGAATCGGACTCTTTCCGAGGCCAGGAGTGCAGTGGCAGAGGCGCGGAAGAACAGGGGGTTCTTCCCGCAGAAGGGCTCTGGCAAAGATGGCAAGAAGGGCGGCTACCAAGTGAAGGGATCATCGGCAGGACCTACAGGACGCGGATGCCTGATCTGTGGTCGGCCAGACCACTACTGGAGGCAGTGTCCCGACCGCTACTCCAGCAAAGGTAAGAGCTTCGCCAAGGGCGGGTCCAAGGGCAAGAGCAAGAAGGGCAAGGTGCACTACATCGGGGGCATCTTCTGCATGGACATGATCCTGTCCCTTTCGTGCCCGTCGTCAACGGAGATTGTCCTTGACTGCGGAGCTACGACGACAGCTGGAGGTGGCGACGCCGTCGAGAAGTTGGTTTCAGCTGTCACCGAGAAGTTCCCGGACGCGAAGATCGAGGTGGATGCATCCGACAGGCCCTGGTTCAAGTTTGCGAATGGATGGCCAGTGGGACCAGGCGCTGTCCAAGGTGTGGCTCTTCGCGCCCATCGGCTGGCTGGGCATCTACTTACTAGACGCTGATGAGGTGCCAGTGCTCGCAGGGGTGGACTGGCTGGATCAGCACGACGTCTCCTTTCGCAGGAACGAGCTGGAGATCTACCTCAGCGATGACAAGACCACGGAGGTTCAGCTCCGGAAGGGCAAGGGCGGCCACCGATTGCTGGACGTCCTGAGTTCGGCCGGCAGCTAGGGACAGCGCACCGGAGTTCCGTTCTCCCCAGGACTCACAGGTGACCAGAGAAAAGAGGGAGTACAGTATCAGGGTATCGGCCTGGGTGGTCTGATGATAGGTGTACGATTACAGTAACAGAATGTTAAACATCAAAGGTTGGAAACAGATTACACTCTACCATACCATGAAAGTAATATGGTAAACCATGTGACGGGACACAGTCCAGAACCAGATGAATCAGAGCTCAGCAGATATGTTCGGGAAGATTGGTTTTCGAGAGTACTTAGAACCTTCGAGCGCCCTGATGATGCTCGACGTTTTGGGATGTGCTGGCGTAGGACGACGTGTTTACACAGTTCAGTGGTTATTGACGATGGTCCTGTGACGATTGCAACCCCTGGGAGGTGGCTTTGTCGCCCACTGCTGGACGGGGTCAGTGCGATTCGTACCGAAGTCTGGTTTCGTCCAACGCCGACTGCACCATTGGCGTTTCGGCTCCAGGGTATTCGAGATAAGCTCAGTGCTTTTTAATCTTCCATGTTTCGTCCTGATGGGCGACAAGAGGCTCTACCCCGATCTACCATGTGCGGCGGCAGAGCAGACGGACTGGTCTCTGAGCAAGGGGGCCGATCCGAGGTATCCTCGCATGACCAGCTGGCCGTGCCAGGGGACCCACACCGTGTCGAGCTACACCAACAACCGCTTCGGGGTGTGGCTGACGTGCGAGAGGTGCGCTTTCAGGCTGGACTATGCTCCGAAGAAAGGGTACAGCGGCAAGTACCGCAAGGAGCCGAAGACGGCCCTGGTGACGGCGGCCCTTCGCCGGCTGCAGGAATCGGGAGACACTCCGGCGGCCGCGAGGGTCGAGGGGCACATGAAGGCAATCGAGGCGGAGCGCATCATCGAGACGGGGCACTACATCAAGAGCGATCCGGACAAGGAGGGTTACTGGACAGCCCGCAAGACCAAGACCGAGGACGTCAAGATCGAGATCAAGACCGATCCAAGGAGACCACCGCCGGCAACCAGACCAACTACCGGAGTGCCGACTGCGGTGCGTACCGTGCGCGCGGTCGGAGCGGACCCAAGCTCTGCGGCATCGGATTCAACACCCCGCAGCAGCACGCGGGACACGGTCTCGAGTGCCGCGGCGGACCCGGACGAGACGCCCACGCTCACGACCAAGCAGAAGGACCTCCTCCTCAAGTGGGCAGTCCTGACCCGGGGAGTCAGGCGCCTGAAGGTGAAGCCGGAGGTGAAGCAGGAGGACTTCGTGGCGATGCCGGTGCCGGGGGACATGGGGGATGTCCTCATGAAGTGAAGCGAGTTTCCAACAAGCAGCGCCGCACGGTCCAGAGCGGCATGACGGCACTGAGCATGCTCGTGAATGGGCTGATGCTGGGCCTTGTGCAGACAGGCTCGGCGATGCGAGTGGACTCTGCTGAAAACGCGTGGTCTCCAACTTCGAGGCTGACAGCCGGTCTGTTGAATGAAGGTTTTCACTGTCAGCGCATCAACCTGGAGCAGGGCTACGACCTCCACAAGAAGGACGACACTAGTCGCGCCAAGGAATGGTTCAATACGGCTGTCCTCGCAAGGCGTGGTTTTCGACACCATGTACCTACTTCTCGTTGATGTAGAATCTTACCCCCGAACACAAACGACAACCTGGCAACTGGGAGAATTTTCTACGATCGCGACTTCGGGCTCGCGCCATGAATGGACACTGTGTGGATATGGCCTTGGAGACACTACGACACGATGGTGATATCTACTGGGAGTGGCCGTACAAGTGCAGTGGCTGATCTACACTGGAGCTCAACCGGCTCAGGCGCGAGGCGGAGAAGATCATCGGGCGATCTCTCCGCATGGTCAGAGTCGACGCGTGTCAGGTGGGCATGCGCGATGACCATGGCGTGCTCAGGAGCAAGTCTTGGGGCATCCTCACCAGCGACGAGAATTTTACGCAGTGGATGGCGCTACGCTGTACGAAGGATCATCCTCACAGCACGCTCGAGGGTCACGACGCTGTGGCGGCGTCGGCCTACTATCCAGACCCGATGATTCGAAGATTGGTCAAGGGTTTCGCGAAGGACCTGCACGGTCAGGATTTCGCGGAGGACTTCTGGGCCATGAGCGCGCTGCAGGATGACGAGGAGCAGCTGCGCGGCATCGAATCGGGCATAGACAAGCATTTCAAGAAGATGCCGGAGAACAACGTCACGCTCGACAAGGTCAAATCCTGGCTGATGGACCTCCACATTCTCGGTGGACATATGTCCAAGACCTACATGAAGGCGATGCTCCAGAGACGCGGGTGTCCAAGTTGGCAGCAGGCGCTCGTAGACGAGCTGATCTGCGATGCTTGCACCGAGACACAGGACACGCAGCACCAGGCCGTGGTGTCACTCTCTATGCCACCCAAGCTGTGGCAGACGGTGAAGCTGGACTGCTTCGAGCTGGAGGTGCACCACAGGAAGCTGTGCGCGGTGCTCTACATGGACGCGGCCTGCAAGTTGGCAGTTCGCAGTGTTTTCAAGGAAGTGGATACTAAGGGCAAGAAGGCGTATTTCGAGCCGTCTGGCGCCCAGGTGTTGTCGGCGTTCCTGGAGGACTGGCGGCACCACAAGCCGCGGTGCCAGTTCTTGATTTCGGACCCGGGCGGCGGTTTCGTCAGCAACCAGTTGCGCGAGTGGTGTGGCAAGAACGCCGTGGGCATCATCCAGAGCCCAGGCGAGTTCCATGGTCTCACGGCTGACTTGGAGATTCTTATCAGACAGATCAAGAAGACCGCTCGACGCATCTCCTTAGACGAGCCGACGCTATCGTTAGCTGACTGCACGTCGCTGGCCTGCGCCGCTCACAACAACCAGCACAAGGCGTCGGGCTACACACCAGTCCAGTGGGCGCACGGTGCTAACCACCAGGGCTACCAGTTTGCAGAGGAGGCTGGTCGCCTGGATGGGGGCGGCTTGGCACACACCGAACTTCATCGTATTTTGGCAGAGCGGGTATACCTGGAGGAGCAGGCTCGTTCAGTGGCGACTCGGCTTCGGCACTCCATGAGGCAGAAGCTTCTCTCGATCAAGATCGGCGACTGGATCATGTACTTCCGTCGCGGCAAGAAGACTGGATCCCGAGGTTCGTGGTTTGGACCTGCGAGAGTTTTGGCCATCGAGCCGAAGGTCAACCTCCAGCGTGAACGTGCCGACGAGCCCGCTTCGATCGAGGACGACATTTCGGTGGTGTGGATCGTGCATGGCACGAGACTTATTCGGTGTCATCCGACACAGCTGAGGTCGAGCAGTCAGCGCGAGGTGGTCGCGGCTTCGCTCAAGGGTAACATCGACAAGGATGCGCCGACCAACGCCTCCAATGTCTTTCAATGCGCTGGGCGTGGTGAGTTTACCGATTTGGCAGGCGACCTACCTTCGGAGCGCGAGATTGCCGAGAGCCTTGCAGACCTACCAGAGCAACCAGGACCAGGTGAAGATTTTCTCCACGGAGATCGGCGTGAATCTCATGATGGTGCTCAGACTGGAGACGACAGTGCAAACTTACATCCAGTTCCTCGAGATGTTCCTCCAGATCTGTCTCGAGCACCTGTCCCAGAGGATGAGGATGGAACAGGCCGAGAACATCACCAAGGGGACCAAGTCAAGAGTGATCAGGACTGGAAGCCGATCAGGCGGGTCCGGTTGAAGCACAAGGCATCTCCCTACAACGCGCCCTATGGACCAGGAGCGACCTCGGCGGCACCAGAGGAGATCACCAGTGGCCCTGCAGGTGCTCCGATTGGCGACGAAGCTGCGGCAGTTCCCCGAGAGGGTAGCCCGGCAGAGCCTTTTGGGGTGGGACCCGACTCTGCGGACGGGCCGGTCGCAGAGGGTTTCGCGGGAAACCAGGATCCTGCAGGGGAGGCCCCCACTAGTGAAGCAGACGAACGTGACTGAACGGAGCCAGAGGCCAAGCGCATCAAGCTCGGCGAGATGGATTTCATGACGTGCGACTTCGTGGACGAGGTCAAGTACCTGGAGGCCTGGGACAACCTCTTCAATCAGTCCGTGGTCTACCTGAAGGACACGACCATCAAGCGTGAAGTTATCGAGGTCGCGACCGATTTCACTCACATTGGAGCTTTCCTTCAAGACTCCACGGCCTGGCTTTCCAAGAGGCTTGGAGACGGCAAGGCGACAGAGGTCACCTATTCCAAGTTGGCGCCAGGGCAGCAGCTCGAGCTTGACGAAGCGACGTGCAAGGAGATCAGCCAAGTCATTGCGACCAAGGTCTTGAAGCGGATCGCCCAGGAGGAGCTCACTGAGATCGACGAGTCGCGATTGCTCAAGATGCGCTGGGTTCTCACTTACAAGTACCAGGAGGGTGGCGAACGCAAGCCGAAGGGGTTGGCTAGTCATTTTGGGCCACCAGCACCCGAGCCTGACGGACCTCGCTACGGCAGCGCCTACGCTGGGGAAGCTGGCTCGCAATGTGTTGTTCCAGGTGTGTGCACAGCACAAGTTCAAGCTCAAGTCCGGCGACATCAGTTCAGCTTTCCTCCAGACCGATGCGAGCGAGGAGTTCGAGAGTCTGAATGTAAAGGTTCCTACGGAAGTGGCTCGTGCTTTTCCTGGTGAACTGGGGCGTCCTTCGCAGATCTTGAAGATGGTCAAGTCTTTCTATGGATTGACAACAGCTCCGAGAGCATGGTGGCTTGACATCTCACGAAAACTTCGTGACCGAGGTTGGCGACAACTACGTACCGACCAATGCGTGTGGATTTTGCTGGACTCCAATAACCAGCTGAAGGGTATCATTGGCGTCCACGTGGATGACTTCATCATCGGTGGCGACGAGACGTCGAAGTTGTACGAGGACGCGGAGAAGGCCATCAGGGACCTCTACCGATGGGGAGCATGGACTTCTGGCCAGGCTGAATTCAGTGGACTACGCGTTCGCCAGTTCAAGAATTTTTCGATCACGTTGGACCTCTACGACTACACGAACAAATTCCTCACGGAGGCCGAGATCGACGCTGATCGTAAGAAGCAGGCTCATCTACCACTCGAGCCGAAAGAGATGCCATTACTTCGTGGAGTACTGGGTACGGCCAGTTGGAGGGCACAACAAGTGTCTCCACAATATGCGGTGGATGTTGGGCTGGCCTTGTCTCAAGTCAACAACGCCAAGATCAGTGACCTGGTGAACGCCAACAAGCTTGTCAAGGATATGCGTAAATCTGCCTCACAGGTGATCAAATTCCACCAGTTCGAGAACTACGAGTGGCACGAGTTATGGATGGTGCAGTGGGCCGATGCTAGTGACAAGCTCAGGCCCGACGGCAGCAAAACTGGCGGGCTGGTGACAGGCCTCTCGACTCCGGACTTTGCGAATGGCAGCATGGCACATGTTTCGATACTTGGATGGAGATATTTCAAGCTACCTCGTAAAATTTCAAGTTCCAACAACAACGAGACGCAGTCGACCGCGTTCGGTGACGAGATGCTGTGGTTATCCAGATTGGTGTGGCAGAGTTACATGGAGTTGAGCCGACTCGTTGGAAGTTGGACGACGCAGTCAAGACTGTGCCAGGCATGCTCATTACAGATTCACGTGGCAATTTTGAAGTCAGGGTCTCCTCAGTTGGGTATGCGCAGTTTCAGATCAGGTGAGGAGGCCAGAGGCATTAAGGAGCAGATTTTGCGCACGGAAAACTCTTTTAGATGGGTGAATGGTTTGGCTATGTTAGCAGATAGTTTGACGAAGCCGGGATATCCGGCTCGGCACGTGATGGAATAATTCTTGACTACACAGCGCTGGAAGTGTACTTTTGACGAGATGTTCCAAAGTGGACGTCGGAGGCAGCGCGACGGCAAGGGCGCTTTCGCAGATGCGCCCGTGGAGGCCGCCATTGGAGGCGAGGGAGGTTTTTTGGATCCCTTGGAGTCTTTGTGTGATGATTATTTTCTTTCTGATTCGACTCGCAGTCTCATGCGGTCTCGATACATGTAGTTTCACGACTGAGAGGAGTATAACCGGTGTTAGCTATGAACAGTCAGTCCTGTGCTCTACCTGCCCGAAGCCCTTCTTTGTTGTGGTTTTGGCTAAAGGGCGGGAGTTTCATACTTTTACATTTGTTTCACGTGGCCCAGGGAGCCACACCGTTCAGCACGGCTAGCGACGCTGTGACAACTGTTACGTTATAGATTCATCGAGTTGGGTGAGAGATATATCATCGTCGGAACTTCCTGATATTACTGCTGCGCCGATTCCGCCAACACTCCGGGGGCCCTGCGGCGCAGGGGCGCGGAGGTCGCGGTGCCTGCCGCGCGTCCAGCGCAGGGCTGAAGGGGCCCCAGGACACACAAATAAACACACACACACAAATAAACATATTCCCAATATTTTCACATAATTTCTGGGTTTTTGTCTTCCCCCCCCACTTCCCATATTTTCCCATATTTCTGGGGAATCGAATATTAATTGTGTCTGTGTGTTTTTTCCTCTCCTGAAGGACTGGGAGCAGGGGGCGCGGGCGGGCGGAGGGGGCCCACCCGTCGCAGAGGTGCGGGGGTCGTGGTTGCGGCTGCGTGCCTGGCGCAGGACCTCGAGCAGGGGGTGGGCTGCATCACTGAGCTGCCCAAGCTCCGATTCCCCCGTGGGATCTGCCGAAAAGAGGGCCCGCGTGCCATGTACCCGACGAAAGAAACCATTCTGGGGTGAATCGGTTCTGTAGTCGATCCCCTTCTCGAGGAATGCTTGTTCTGGACTGTTCCATTGCGTCCCATCTTGTCAGATGCTCATTCTGGGGACCTTCCTGGAGCCACTCGCTCCACTCGTGCGTCGAAGCTGCGTCGAACCTGAGTAGAACCTGAGTCGAAGCTGAGTCGAATCTGTGTCGAACCTGAGTCGAACTTGAGTCGAACCTGAGTCGAACAGATCCATTAGGTGGGCCCCAGGAAGGTCCCCAAAACGAGCATCGAAATCTTGTGCTAGCGCAAACATCTGCTGCTTGGTCGGAGAGGCGTGCTCACTGCCAGAGATTGCGCGACGTCGGCTTCACACGCCGGCGTTGCTCGGAGAGAGGAGGGGGAGACGGGGGTGCTCGGTGGGTGCCTTGGAGTGCTCCCGGGAGCCAAGAGGTCAAGAGGGAGACGAAAGGAGAGAATGAGGAGGAGGAGGAGGAGAAGGAAAAAAGGGGGGAGGAGGAGAAGGAGGATGAGGATGAGGAGGAGGAGGAGGAGGAGGAGGAGGAGGAGGAGGAGGGGGAGGAGGAGGAGGGAGGAGAATGAGAGTCGGGGGAGAGGAGGGGGGCCAGAAGGAGGCAGAGGAGGAGGAGGAGAGGAGAGGAGGAGGTAGGACGACGACGAAAAGGAAGAGAGGGGAGGGAGAGGAGGAGGAAGTAGTGAGGAGAGGAAAGAGAGGAGAGAGGAGGAGGGAGGAGGAAGAGGAAAGAGGAGGAGGACAGAGATGAAGGAGAATAGGAAGGAGGAGAAGGAGAAAGAAGGGCGGTGAGGAAAACGAGGAGAGAAGAGGCGAGGCGCCATCCTTTTCGGGCTCCTCCTCCTCCTCCTCTGCCTCCTCCTCCTCCTCCTCCTCCTCCTCCTCCTCCTCCTCCTCCTCCTCCTCCTCCTCCTCCTCATTCCTCCTGAGGGGGAGGGCGACTTGACGAGACCTGTGGTGACCTGCGGAGACCCCCGACGGGGGGACGAGGGCAGGGGGGCAGGCACGAGGGGGCGAGGGGGAGGGAGGACAGAGGAGGACAGGATCGGGAAGAGAGGGGTAAGGAGGGAGGGGGGAGGAGAGGAAAGGCAGGATAGAGCACAGGTGAAAGGGGAAGAGGAGGGCGGGAGGGAGGGAGGGAGGGCAGGTGGGAGTAGAAGCAAGAGCTGCATGAACTGTCTGAGGTCTGGACACGCTTCTTGGGTCGGCGCTTGGACCTCTGGCGGCGCCTCCGCCGCCGCCCCGAGCACGCTGCGCGCACCAGGAAGAGAGGTCCAGCGCCGATCTAACGAATCCGCGCGGGCCTCCGAAAATGTATGTCTGTTAGAAGATGCGGGCGGGAACGGGAGAGGGGACAAGGTAGGATGCAGGGAAGAAGGGATAGTGGGGAGACGGAAAGGGGGAGCGGGTACGGGGTATGGGCTGGAGGGAAGGAGGGGGGGAGAGAGGAGGAGGCAGAACGAATGTCCGTGAGGATTCTTATTGGGTCGGCGCTGGACCCCTAGACGCCAGAGGCGCTGGTCCACGAGGACCTCTCAACGGTTATGCTCGGCCTTGGGTTGTTCGAGAGGGAAGTACACTCCAAACGTATATCAAGGATGGATGGTAAGGACGAAAGGCCCTTGGAGGCCGAAGTTGGGATTTTTGGGCGGCGGGTGACCAGTGAAAACGGCAAAGGACGGGCCGCAGAAGCAAGGTCACAAGGGCACCCTAGATGAGGGCGCACGTCCTTGCCAGGGGCGTGGACTGGAAGTTGGCATGCAAGAAGCGGTGCCCCGAGGGAAACAGCTCCTGGACCCCCAGGCTGTTCCCTGTGCAGGACCAGCTGATCATCCCGAATCGCTCTCCGACGGCCCCTGAGGCCATGGAAAGTCCGCTCAAAATCGGTCCCCGGACCCCTCCCGGGTCCAGCTGGTGCAGCTTTTTCGCCCCAGGTCCGATGTTGACGGTCCCAGGGGCCCGAAAACGAGCCCCAGAGGCCGAAAAAGTTAGAAATCCGCCTCGGGGGGAACCTCGCCCCGCCTACTGCTGCTCGCCCACAGCCGACTCCAAGACGGAGGAAGGGAACCATGGACGTCTCTATACGCAACGACACCCAAGGTGTCCATAGACGCTTGTGGCTAGAAAGTGACAGCTGTGTTTGGCATACACCCTGCGAAATGCTCAAGAAATCATGGGTTAAGAAATTCAGAGTCTGCGAACTTGAATAAAAACCCCGAACTTCTATTAAAATCTTGGGATATACATTGAAAAGTTAAGAATAATCGAGACTCTGGACGAAAACTTAGGTTTTCTTAAGCATCGCCTAAGGTGTAGGCCCCAGAAATTGGCCTTCTAGAAGCACGTAGGCTGGGCTCCCCAAGAACGGGGGGTGGGCGAGGGCGGAGACGCTAAAGGCTGAAGGCCAGGAGGCAGAAGGGCGGAGGAGGAGGAGGAGGAGGAGGAGGAGGAGGAGGCAGGAGGAGAGAGGAGCAGGAGAGAGGAGGGAGGAGGAGCAGGAGGAGGAGCAGGAGGAGGAGGAGCAGGAGGAGGACAAGGAGGAGGAAGAGGAGGAGGAGGAGGAGGAGGAGGGTGGTGACGAGGCCAGCGAGGCAGGAGCGGGCGCCACGTGCCCTGCTCATCAGAACTCTGCGTGGCCCGGGTACCTCGGGAAGGGGATCGTGTCCCTGAGCGGGGGGGGCCGGCAATCCGCACGCTTAGAATGCGACGTTTCCTTGAAAGGGACGCCAACGGAAGGGCCTTCTGAGACCGCGGCGTTGCCTTCACGCCACCTCCTACCCCTCCTCATCCTCCAACTCTTCCTGCTCCTCCTCCTCCTCCTCCTCCTCCTCCTCCTCCTCCGTCCTCCTCCTCCTCCTCCTCCTCCTCCTCCTCCTCCTCCTCCCCCCTCTCCTCCCTCCCCTCCTCCATCCTCCTCCTCCTCCTCCTCCTCCTCCTCCTCCTCCTCCTCCTCCTCCTCCTCTCCTCCTCCTCCCTCCTCCTCCTCCTCCTCCTCCTCCTCACCTCCTCCTCCTCCTCCTCCTCCTCCTCCTCTCCTACCTCCTCCTCCTCCCTCCTCCTCCTCTCCTCCTACCTCCTCCCTCTCCTCCTCCCTCCTCTCTCCTCCTCCTCCTCCCTCCTCCCTCCTCCTCTCCTCCTCATCCTCCTCCTCCTCCTCCTCCCCGCCTCCTCCTGCTCCTTCCTGCTCCCTCCTCTCCTCCTCCTCCTCCTCCTCCTCCTCCTCCTCCTCCTCCTCCGCCTCCTCCTCCTCCTCCTCCTCCTCCCCCCTCCTGCTCCTCCTCCTCCTTCTCCTCCTCCTCCTCCTCCCTCCTCCTCCTCCTCCTCCTCCTCCTCTTCCTCCTCCTCTCCTCCTCCTCCTCCTCCTCCTCCTCCCTCCTCCTCCTCCTCCTCCTCCTCCCCTTTCTCCTCCCCCTCCTCCTCCTCCTCCTCCTCCTGCTCCTCCTCCTCCTCTTCCTCCTCCTCCTCCTCCTCTGCAGAGTCTTGCTCTTCCTGCCCCTCCGCGATGCCTCCATGGCGCGCGAAGCCGACGGACTTGAGGTATCGACAGCGCCGGTCTCAGAAGTCCATTCCCCGGGGGTCCCTGCTGGAAACGCACGATAGAGGAAGAAGAAGAAGAAGAAGATAGAGTAAGAAGAAGAAGAAGAAGAATATAGAGGAGGAAGAAAAAGAAGAAGAAGAAGAAGAAGAAGAAGAAGAGTCGGCATATACAGGAACGCTCGGAAGTCCGTGCAGGTTTCTCCCCTCGGCGCCGGAGTTCCCTCCGGCACCGCTGAGCACGGGGGCCCCGCGCCGACCCAAGAAATCCGTGCGGACCTCTGACCATGTTTGCGTTTGTGAAGGCCTCCCAAATAGGGTTAAGTCGGGCCTGTCCCCCCCTACAGGGGGATTTTTGACGAAAAATAAGAAATACCCCAAAGATACCCCAGAAAGGTTCAAAAGAAAAAAACCCAAAAAATAGTCCCCAGACTATTTTTGGACCACTTTTTCATTATTTGGGGGGTATTTCTTTTCTTTTCCGTCGAAAACTCCCCTCGATGGGGGACGGGCCGGCCCGACTTGAAAATAGGGTCCGCGCTGCTCAGGTCGGAGGCCGGCGCCGACGCGGCAGTGCCTCGCCGCACCGGCGACGCGCCGGCGACACCCTGCCAACGTCGGCGACGCATCGGCGCCGCCGGCGTGGAGAGAACCGGGCTACGCATCGAGACGCATCGCCGATGCATCGGCGATGCGGCGTGACCCTCCGACCCCATCTGGTCTGACCCCGTCTGGGAGGCCTGCGGCGGAAGAATCGGGGAGACGCAAGACTCGGGTACGGGGGACTCGGGTTGGCCCGACGGGGGCCATCATAAAAATGACGAGGCCCAATCCGAAATTTGACGCGGGCTCCCGCTGCAGACATCCCACGAAAACGGCACCGTCAAAATCCAGGACGCGCTCGTCAAAAAAAAGTCGGCAAACCCGAGTTCCGGCGTACTCGAGTCGCACGCTTCCCCGAGAGAAGAAGGAGAGCAGAAAGAAGAAGAGCCGGTATGATTTCGGAAGTCCGCGCGGGCTTCTCCCAGCGGCGCTGGAGTTTCCTCCGGCGACGCCATGGTACGGGGGCTCATCGCCAACCGTTCGGCGCCGGATGTCCCTCCAGCACCGCAAGTACGGCCGGCGCCGACCCAAGCAGCCCCGCGCGGACCTCCAGAAATCCCTGCTCGACCTCACACAGCGGACCGGCTTGAAAGGCCCCGCGCAGAGAGGAGGCTGTGAGCTGCGGTCCTGCTGTGTCGCGACGTCGTCGCTTTCGGAGGAGGCGACACCAGAGCCAGACCCTCACCAACCATCGCTTCTCCTGAATCGATGGGAGGCGGGGGCAGGGTTTGGATTTCGCCGCGTGCTCGACGAATTCCGTACCCCACCCCAGCCGCCCTTCGAGTTGCCTGAATTGTGCATCGGCGAGGGTAGGGTTCGGATTTCGCCGCCCGCCAGATTCTACCGGCGGATCCGCCCTGCTTTTACTTCCGCCGCCTTCAGCCGCCCTTCCGCCGCCTTCTGCCGAAAAAGAGGTGCCAAGCCCGTCGGTCCTCGAAGGCGAGGCCCTTTCTGGAACGCTTCATGAGTCGCGACGCCGTCACTTTCTCACGACATGTGATGCCTGGCTACCTACCAAGCCATTCCCACGCAACCCGGAGTCGCCGCTGGGCCTGCCAACTTCCAGTGGGGGGGCACCCCGGAAGATGGACAACATACGGTGGGACCCGTACACACCCCAACCCGACCCTAAATCCAGGGTGGTCTCGAACCTTGAGGTGTGAGTGGGGTGGATTGGTAAGCAGTGCATGTCTCGAAGATGGATAAATCTCCCTTTAGTAAACCACCCTTTGATTAAAAAGGCCTAGGACCGAAACCGACGGACCTGGACCCGCAAAAATGACCGCCGCGACGCCTTCTCGCGAACCGAAAACGGCAAATTCGCTAATCGACGTGTCAGGGTAGGAGGTCTATCAACCTCCGAATGTCGGGGCACGTAATTACACACCCTGAGATCTTTCAGCTCACCGAGCTGGCCCCAAGGACAGCGGAGTGCTCCCGTTCAGTAACCCTCGCCTGCTGGGAGGAGGAGGAGGAGGAAGAAGAAGAAGAAGAAGAAGAGGGGGAGGGGAGGGAAGGAGGAGAGGAGGAGAGGCGGAGCGGAGGAGAAGAGCGGAGAAGGGAGGAGGAGGAAGAGGGGACAGGGAGGAGGAGGCGGAGAGAGGCGGAGGGAAGCGGAGGGCGGAGGAGGGAGGAGGAGGAGGAGGAGGAGGAGGAGGAGGCGGAGGAGGGAGGAGGGAGGAGGAGGAGGAGGAGGAGGAGGGAGGAGGGCCAGATCGCGGAGCTGCAGGATCTCAGGGGCCGCAGCACGCCCGCCCGCTTCGAGGGGCGCCCCCACGGCCTCCACGGAGCACCCCCTCGCGAGGCCCAGATGAGGGCCCCGGGGGCTCCAGAGCGGAGCGAGAAGCTGGGGGCTCCTCCTCCTCCCTCCTCCTCCTCCTCCTCCTCCTCCTCCTCTCCTCCTCCTCCTCCTCCTCCCTCCTCCTCCTCCTCCACCTCCTCCTGGGCCGGGGGTGCCTCCAGCGACCCCCGACCCAGGCCAGAAGGACAGCCTTCGGGGCCGGCCCCGAAGGCCACGCCTCGGCGGGCACGGCCTGGCGGGCAGAGAGCAGCGGCGGGTGCGCCGGTGCCGGGCCCGGGGCTGTGCTGCGGGGGCGGAGCACGCGTGTAGGATGATCAGCGCACAACACACACACACACACACACACACACACACACACACACTTACACTCAAACCTGTATCGGCGGCGAGAGAGGGGGGGGGAAGCGAGAAGGAGAAGGCCTTGTCAGAATGCGGTGGGACTTCTCAGAGGCCCCCTCGCCTTCCGAGAGGTTTCCTGCGTCTTCGAAGGAGCCTCAGGAAGCTTCTCAGAGGGCCGGGGGACTTCCGAGCCTTCTGAGAAGGCCCGCCACTTCTCACTTCCCCCCGGGCTCGCGGCCGACTATTAGAGGAAAGAGAACTATGCACATACGCCGATTCTGGCCAGGCCCACCCTGAGCCCAGGATCGGTGCATACGCCCTCCTACATTGGCCAGGAGGGCACATGCACCGATCCTGGGCCCAGGATGGGCCAGGCCAAGATCGGTGCATGTGCATAGTTCTCTTCGCCCGATATAGGGAGGAGGAGTGGGGAAGGGCAAGGCAATGAACGCGCTGTGGGGATGGGTGCGAGCTGTCGGAGCCCCAGCGGGGGTCCCGTTCGAGCGGGGACCCCCCCTTCCGACAACACGCACCCACAGGCCCCCTCCCCTCCAGAATTCCACCCCAGGACTTTCAAGGGGCGCTGAGGTCTGGGTACGGTTCGGTCGGGCCTCTCCCCCTACAGGCGGAGTTTGGACGAAGAATGAAGAGCACACCAAAAATCTGCAAAAAAAGATTCAAACGTGGTCCAAAAATCGTGCCCAGACTGTTTTTCTACTAGTTCGGAATACTTCTCCTGCAGAGGGACACGCCCGACTCAAGGGTACGGGTTGTCAGCTCGGGACAAGGGTCGCCACCGCCTGGCCTGATGTTCTCCACGCCCGTGGTGAGCATGATGAGGCGCTCGAAGCCCAGGCCGAAGCCGGAATGCGGGACGCTCCCGTACTTGCGCAGGTCGCGGTACCACCAGTAGTCCTTGGCCTCCAGCCCCTTCGCCTCGGGAGAAGGGGGGGGGGGGGCGGAGGGTCCCAACCGGGGAGACGTCGACCCCCATCCCGGGCTTCGTGGGGTCAGCGAGTGGACCAGGAGTCCCAACAGCCCTCTGGGCGACAGGTGGTCCAACGAGGGTCTCTTGCCTCTTCCACACCCCCTCGTCTCTTCGAGGAAGGGGACCCTCCCCCACCCCTCCCCGAGGTTTTTGGGAGGGATCGCGAGGTGTCGGAGGCTCTCTTTTCGGCCACTGGGAGGGCCGATTGTTGCCGCCCCTCACGAGGATCGTGGCCCCCGAGGGGAGATGTCGGCTCCTATCCCAGGCCCGACCCCGGGATATACACCCTGCGAAATGCTTAAGAAATCATGGGTTAAGAAATTCATAGTCTCAGAACTTGGATAAAAACCTAACATTTCTATCAAAATCGTGGGATTTACGTTGAAAGCTTAAGAATAATCGAGACTCTGGACGAAAACTTAGGTTTTCTTAAGCATCGCCTAAGGTGTATACGATAGGGGGGGCGCCCATCCTCGATATGGGGGTGCGTCCCAACAGCCCCCCTGGGGCTGCATCCCAGGGCGCCCCTCCTTTGACCAGCCTGGAGCATATCCCTCTCCCTATGCTGGGCACCCCCTCATCACGATGCCAATCTTGGGGATTCCCTTATTTTTTGAGGGGGGATCCCTAAGATTGTCATCGCCTTTTGGCGTGTCAATCTTAGGGATAGGGATACGTTCGAGGCTGGTAATCCTTTGCTGCCTCTTGCACCCCTTGGGGGAACCTCCGCCGGGGCCGCGGGCCCGCCGCGGGGGTGCCGGCCAGCACGCGCGCCGACGGGGGGGAGGCCCGGGGAGGCCCTCCTCCTCCTCCTCCTCCTCCTCCTCCTCCTTCTCCTCCTCCTCCTCCTCCTCCTCCTCCTCCTCCTCCTCTTCCTCCTCCGCCTCCTCCGCCTCCGCTCCTTCTCCTCCACCGCCTCCACCGCCTCCTCCTCCTCCTCATCCTCCTCCTCTTCCTCCTCCTTCTCCTCCTCCTCCGCCTCCTCCTCCGCCTCCTCCTCCGCGGGGAGGGCAAGGGGGGAGGGAAGCCCCTGTGCATCGGGGGGGGGAGGGGAGAGGAGGGGAGGGCAAGCGGGGTGCGCTCGCGCCACATCTGACATCTTACGCCCCCCCCAGCCCCCAAACCAGCCCTTCTCCTTGCGCTGATCTATTCTCTAGCCGCGGTCGCGTGTCATAGCGGAACTGGAACTCCCAGAAAGGCCCCATCATGCAGTGCGCAATCGGAAAGGGGGAGCTGAGCAGGAGGAAAAGGAGAAGGAGGAAGGAGGAGAAGGGGACGAACAGCAGCAGCGGGGACTGGAGCGGAAGGAGCAGGAGGACAAGGGGAAGGTTGAGGGGAAAGGAGGGAGGCGTCAACGATGAAAAAAAACTCGGACCCAGAAAAAAAAGGCCCGCGCTGGGGCGAGATCGCCATTCTGAACGACGGTAGCAAGGGGCCGATCCGGAAAGAGGCCCACGCTGCGGCGGGAGCACGGTTTTGAAACAACGAACACGACTGGGATTCAAAAAGACATCAGAACAACTAATACTGGTGTCAATACGCGGAGAGGCCTGGACACCTTCCGGACAGAATGAGGGGAGTGAGGAGAGTAATTTTCGTAATGCGTCATTGTAAGACTCAGACTTCCGAAGGGGAGCAGAAGTCTGCATGAACATACACTTTCGCAGGTCCGCGAGGATTCCTTCGATCCGCGCTGGACCCCCCTCCCTGTGGCGCGGAACGCACCAGGGGCGGCGCTGGAGGCGCCGCCAGGGAGGTCCAGCGCAACGACTGAAGAAATCCACGCGGACCTCCGACAGCTTTGCGCTACAGCCCGACCTAGAACAAAAGAACATCCCTCAAGAACATGAGCTCCTCCGCCAGCCAAACCGCACAGAACATGCAAAGGTACCGTCCCCAGGTTGCACGAGAGCCTCCAACAGACGCGAAGAACACGAGCGCACCCTCCCCGAACCGACCTCGACCCTATGCCTCGAGCCGACTGCATGATGCTGCCCTCCGGGCCTCTCCCGGCATGCGATCCGACCAGGAGTTCGAGGCAAACCCAGCCGTGGCGACGAGGAGACCCCAGGCTGATGTTTCTTCGTCTTGGAAGCCTGGAGATGGGCACCAATACCGAAACAGGGTTTTGCCTCCACAGGGGGAAGATGATCCTAGAGTTCGGTGCTGGTGGCAATACTTCGGTCACCTCGAAAGCCAGAATATTGCCACCATCACCGAGACCGGGATCTTCATCCGTCGGTGGAGGCACACCGCCGATCTTGGTGTTGGTGTCAACCTTTAGGCCGATGTTTCCTCGTCGAGGGAAACGGGTACGGGCCCTGTGCAAGGGACACAGGTGGGTTCGAGGTGCCTCCCAAGGGAGGGCCACCGCCGCTCCCCCCCCCCCCCCAAGCCAGCTCCCCCCCGTCGTCGCCCACCCCCCCCTGCCAGGAGGAGGAGGAGGGAGAAGCGAGGAGCGAGGAGCGAGGAGCGAGGAGCGAGGAACGAGGAGGAGGAGGAGGAGGAGCGAGGACGAGGAGGGGAGGCACTGAGGGCGGGTGGTTTTCAAAATGTGGCTCTCGCCTTAGCGCCGCGCACATTCGTTTTAAGAATTACAACCATTTCACGCATTGAGGGCGGGTCGTTTTCAAAATGCGGTTCTCGCATTAGCGCCGCGCACATTCGTTCTAAACATTTGAAGGAGCTTCACGGATTGAGGGCGGTTCCTTTTCAAAACGTGGCTCTCGCCTTAGCGCCGCGCACATTTGTTTTAGAAATGCGCAAAACGTCTACGGATTCCCATGGTCAACCAGAAATGGCGTTCTGGAAAGACTCAGGACTATACGGGTGCAACGCGTCTGTTGATTCGCGGTGTTGAAATCAAACAAAAAAACGCTCTGGCAATCTTCCGGATCGTCAAGACGCAGCAGTCAGGTTGATACGTGGCGTTGAAGTTATACCGAGAACACTGTTTAAGCATTCTCCAGGATCTTCAGACTGTTGTCTTCCAACGAGGCAGCTCCCGCAATGGAAATGAACCGTTGCAGGGACCTATGAAGAGGGAGCTTGGAGGGAGGGTTAATTCCATCATCGTGGATGACTCTTGGGTTTACACTGGTCCTCCTCCTCCTCCTCCTCCTCCTCCTCCTCTCCTCCTCTCCTCCTCCTCCTCCTCCTCCTCCTCCTCCTCCTCCTCCTCCTCCTCCTCCTCCTCCTCCTCCTCCTCCTCCTCCTTCCTTCCTCCTCCTCCACCAGGGGACGCGAATTAGGGGGGGGGCGATGCATGGGGGGAAAGGGTCCCTTTGCGGGCATGCAAGAAAAATGGTGGTTATAACAACCGATGTTGCATCAAGCGTTCCACCACATGAAATTCGATGGTTCACTGCGTGGAGCTCCCCATATGTGCATCTATTCGCATGGACCTGGCCGCCGTGAATGTCTAGGCGCAAGAGATTTCGAATATAAGCGGGCTTCAGTTGTGACGGTCTGGTCATGATTATAACTGCGAACCAATTGGAGTGTGAATGAGCCTCAGTAGTACGAGCGCGACTCTGCGCATGAGCTAGGGGCCTCCTGGGACCTCCTGAAACCTACTAAGGCTTCCTGGGGCCTCCAGGAGGCTCTCGGGGCCTCCCGGGGCCTCCTGGGACCTCCTAGGGAGGATTCGTGCCCCAGGACAGGCCCAATATATAGCAACAGACGTACATAAAACATTGCGGATTGGAGCCAGAGGAGAAGGGCAACCTACAGGAAGACACGTAAAACACAAAGGACTCGTGTCCCAGGGCAGGCCCGATATATAGGAACATAAATAAAACCTTTAGGATTGCGTGCACAGGGGAAGGACACTATATATGTATATGTATATATACATACATATATATATACATATATATATATGCATACGTGTAACATCAAGGACTCGTGCTCCAAGTGAGGCCCACTCTATAGGAGCATACGTAAAAGACATGGGATTGGAGCCACTCCCGTTGCCTTCAGAGGCCTTCTGCTCCTGGGGCCTCTCGGGGCCTCCTGTTGCCTTCCGAGGCCTCCTGGCGTTTCCTGTGGCCTCCTGGGGCTTCCTGTTGCTTCCTGAGGCCTCCTGGAGCTTCCTGGGGCCTCCTGGAGCCTTTTGGGACATCCTGTGGCCTCTTGAGTCTTGCTGTGGCCTCCTGATGCCTCCTGGGACCTCATGTGGTCTCCCGGGGCCTCCTGGAGCCTGTTGGAGCCTCCTGTGGCATCCTGAAGAGAATATGTGCTCACGAGTCTGGCCACCAAAACAGGCGAACCGATCGAGGCATCCTCAAAATCTGGTCCACCGTGGGGGGTGAAAATGAGCGCCTCGCTCGAGACATCCTCCAACTCTGCTCCGAAAGCGAAGGATGCTGGGACAGACAACAGGCAAACTGCTTGAGACATCCCCACAACACGGCCGCGAACGGGACCGTGCAATACCCCTCAGCGGCTCCCCTTAGGGGGGATGAAAATGAGCGCCTCCCTCGAGACATCCTCCAAATCTGCTCCGAAAGCGAAGGATGTTGGGACAGGCAACAGGCAAGCCGCTTGAGACATCCCCGCAAAACGGCCGCGAACGGGACCGTGCAATACCCCTCGGCCGCTCCCCTTAGGGGTGCTGAAACCAGCGCCCCGCCTGAGACATCCTCACAATATGCTGTGTGTTGGGTAAGTTTGACAATGAGAAGGTCTGAGTATGCGTAAGTTTGGGTATGAATGAGTCTCAGCATGAGTAAGTCTGAGTATGGGTAGGTCTGACTATGAATAGGTCTGAGTATGAGTAAGATAATATGATCAGGTCTGAGTATGAGCAAGTCTGTGTATGAGTAAGTCTGTGTATGAGTAAGTCTAGGTATGAGGAGGAGGATGAGGAGGAGGAGGAGGAGGAGGCGTCCAGGTAATAACAAGAACCCCATCTGAGGGTATGGGGAAAAACGCAGTGTCCAACCGCTGCCAGGGGAAAGGCTCTCGCTGCCCCCCCCCCCCGATTCTGCGCGACGCCCAAGGGAAGGGAGGGGGGGGCGCGAGAGCTCCATGAGGGCATGAGCAGGTCGTGGAGGGTCTTGGGCGGGAGACACGCGGGGAGGGGGGGCGAAGGAGAAGGCAGGCAGGGAGGAGGCAGGCAGGGAGGGAGGGAGGAGGGTGAGGAAAGCGGTTGAAGCCAGCGGGCAGGAAGGGAATCGGAGAGGAGAAGGGGGAGGATTCAGGAGCCCGCTGAGGAATCCTCACGGGTTGCCTGAATAATCCGCCGAACGCCCATGGAAGTCCTCATGGATCCAGCAGGAATCCTGAAGACTTCCCCAGGAAGCCCCTATACATCCGAATGCATTCCTGGAGGGAACCTCACGAATCCCTCAGGACTCCCCAGGAAACTCCAAGGATCCCCCACGATACCCAAAGGAATCCTCGGAACTCCTCTGGGAATCCGCACAAGCCCCTGAGAAATCCGAGCGAACACCCCAGGTCTTTTCCAGGACCCCCTCAAGAATCCACACACACACACACACACAAAGTAAAGAAACCAAACTCCTCCACACGAACCAGAGATGCACGTAGCCCCCTGACCAGGAGAGGAGGAGGGGGGACGGGTCTTTGGGGGGGAGTTGATCAAACCACGGGGTCCTCACAAACAGACCTCCCGAAGAAGAAATACAAGAGAGGGGGAGAGGAGGGAGAACATAAGAAGGGGGAAGAGGAGGAGCTGGAGAAGGAGGAGCGGCAGGTGGAGCCCACAGAGGCAGACAAGAGCGGAGGAGCAGCACGAGGGGGGAGCATCGGGGAGGAGGCTCGCATCGGCCTGCCCCCTTCCCCCTATACCTTACCCTTTCCGCCCGCTGTTCCCCCCGTTGCTCCCACCGCGTCCTCCTTGCTCTCCCCCCACCCAGTCCACCCTCCTCCCCCGCCCCCCCTCCTGCTGCTCGCTACTCCCCCGCGGCCTCGATCATCTGGTCTAGGTTTTCCAGTCTCTCCTCGCGCTGGGACCCGCCGATCACCTCGCCGATCTGCGGAACCAGGCAGTCCATCGCGGCCACGGTCTTGCCGTCGTCGTTGAGCCGCATGTAGAACGACTGGCCCCTCCCTGACTCCCCGTCTCCTCTTCCTCCTCTTCCTCCTCCTCCTCCTCCTCCTCCTCCTCAGCAGCAGCAGCATCAAAGTCACCATCACCACCACCACCACCATCACCAGCCCCATCACCATCAGCAGCATCATCATCAGCATCATCATCATCATCATCATCATCGTCATCATCACCATCGTCATCATCATCATCAGCATCATCATCATCATCATCATCATCATCATCATCATCATCATCATCAGCATCATCAGCATCCTCATCCTCATCCTCATCCTCGTCAGCATCATCATCAGCATCACCAGCACAATCCTCATCATCAGCACCAGCACTATCATCAGCATCAGCATCATCATCATCCGCATCATCATCAGCAGCATCAACAGCATCGTCATCATCAGCAGCATCAGCAGCATCATCATAATCATCACCAGCAGCACCATAATCATAACCCTCATCAAAATAATTGGCATGTCCATCATCGTCAGCATCATCAGCATAATCAGAATCAGCATCAGCATCATTGTTATCAGCGGCATCGTCCTGATTGTCATCATCATCATCATCAGCAGCAGCAGCATCATCATCCTCAGAATCATCAGCGTCATCCTCATACTCAGTCTGATCATCACCATCATGATGATAGTGATGAGGATGATCCGAAGAAAGTACCTGATAATGATAGTAACCACCATCAATCATCATCACAATCACCATCATGATCATCATCACCACCCTCCGATCCTCTTCACCAATAGCAGAAGCAGCATCGTCACCATCAGCTTCATGCAAAGAAGCATACCTATACGACCACCCTTCGGTCGGGTGAAAGGGAGGTTCGGGGGGGGGGAACCAACGTCTCATTCGATCGGTCTCACTATCGATCGGTCTCACTCGATCGATAGTAAAACCGATCGATCGAATATCACGATCGGGTTCGCTCGATCGATCTCACTCGATCGATCTCACAATCGATACCACTCGATCTATCTCATTCGATCGATCTCACAATCAATATGACTATCGATCTCACAATCGATATCATAGTCGATCTCACTATCGATCTCACTATCTATCTCACATTCGGCCTCACTATCGATACCACGACCGGTATCACAATCGATCTCACAGGCAACGTCATCATCATCATCGTCGACATCATCGTCATCAACGTCATCAACAGCATCATCCTCATTATCGGGACACCAGCATCATCATCATCACGTCACCACCATCATCGTCAACACCATATTCATAGCCATCATCACCAGGACACCATCATCGTCACCATCACCATCATCAACCTAATCACCATCGGGACACCATCATCATCATCGGAAAACCACCGTCACCAGCATCGTCTCATCATCATCATGAAAAACATCGTCAACATTAATATCATCGGGACACCATCATCATCAGCAACATCATCTTCAACATCATCACCATCGGGACACCATCATCATCGTTATCATCATCACCATCATCATCACCACCATCGGGACACCATCATCATCAACATCAGCATCACCATCATCGGGCCACCACCATCAAAATCATCATCACCCCTTCATCATCCTCATCGCCAACATCATCATCATCACCATCGAACACCATCATCGTCAGACTCATCATCATCATCAACAACATCAGCATCATCGGGACACCATCATCATCATCACCACCATCACCACCAACGGCACCATCATCAACCTCATCAGCATCATCATCGCCATCGGGACACCATCATCACCATCTTCATCACCATCTCATCATCTCATCATCATCATCATCAGGATCATCAACATCATCATCATCATCATCATCATCATCATCATCATCATCATCATCATCATCATCATCGGGACACCGTCATCATCGGAAACATCAGCATCGTCAAAAACATCATCGTGATAACATCATCATCACCACCATGGCAGTCATCATCATCACCATCATTACAATCATGGGACACCATCATCGTCACCATCATCATCAACATCATCATCACTGGGACACCATCCTCATCATCATCATCGGAACACCACCATCATCTAATCATCATCATCATGAACAACAGCATCAACATCAACAGCATCGGGACACCATCATCATCATCAACATCATCATCACCGGGCCACCATCATCATCGGGACAACATCATCATCGTCACCATCATCATCACCATCATCATCATATGGACACCATCATCATCAACATCAGCATCATATCGTATGGACACCATCATCATATGGACACCATCATCATCATATGGACACCATCATCAGCATCACCATCATCATCGTGCAACCACCATCAAAATCATCATCATCCCGCCATCATCCTCATCATCAACATCAGAATGATCGGGACACCATCATCGTCACCATGATCATCATCAACATCATCATTGGGACACCATCATCATCATCGGAACACCACCATCATCATCCCATTATCATCATCATGAACAACAGCATCAACATCATCAGCAGCGGGACACCATCATCATCAACATCATCACCATCGGGACACCATCATCATCATCATCATCATCATCAACATCAGCATCACCATCATCATCGGGCCACCACCATCAAAAGCACCATCATCACCCCACCATCATCCTCATCGTCAACTGCATCATCATCATCATCGGGACACCATCATCGTCAGACTCATCATCATCATCAACATCATCATTATCATCAGGACACCATCATCATCATCACCATCAGCATCATCATCAACAGCATCATCATCAACAACATCATCATCATCATCATCATCATCGGGACACCATCATCATCATCATCATCATCATCATCATCATCATCATCATCATGTTCATCATCATCTCATCATCTCATCATCGTCAACATCATCAGGATCATCAACATCATCGTCATCATCATTGGGACACCATCATCATCATCATCATCAGCAACATCAGCATCACCAACATCATCATCGGGACACCATCATCATGACCACCATGGCCATCATCATCATCATCAATATCATCATCATCATCATCATCATCATCATCATCATCATCATCATCATCATCATCATCATCATCATCATCATCATCATCATCATCATCGTGACACCGACGGGACACCGGCGGGACACCGGCGGGACACCGCGCGGCACCGGTTGCCGGAAGGGAGACTTTTGGTCCGGCCGCGCCTCAGCCAGAGGCGGGACATTTCTCGCCCGCCCACACAGCTTCGCCTCGCCCGCACGCACGGCACGCACGAACTCGAAACCGAAACCGATTTCCTTGTAGGGGGGCTCTCCGTTCCACTTCGATCTCACCCCCTCACCTCCGACTAGTAATAATACTAATGAAAATAATGATACGAATGATAATAACAATCAGCAGCACCATCACCATCACCACCACCATCACCAGCCCCATCACCATCAGCATCATCATCATCATCAACATCATAATCGTCATCGTCATGATCATCATCGTCATCAGCATCATCAGCAGCAGCATCATCATCCAAATCACCACCATCGTCAGAGTCAGCAGCAGCAGCAGCATCATAAGCATCATCATCAGAATCACCATCAGCATAATGAGCATCATCATAATGAGCATCATCAGCATCATTATCGGCATTGCCATCGGCATCATCATGACCATCAGCAGCATCATCATCGTCATCGTCAGGTGTCGTCGTCGTCAGCATCATCCTCATCATCATTATCATCAGCAGCAGCAGCGCAGCACCATCACCATTATCACAATCATCA